TCCCTAGAACTTCAAGAGGATCCTAGCATTGCAACCAAATATTTTTTTTATCAGGCAGAAACAATAAAAGGAAAGGGCCATGGAAAATACTACTATAACTCTTCCAGGCTGGGCCACAAAGTTGTTTTTATGGGTTTACTAGATAACTAACGTTAATTATTATCCCTTCTTCAGGAGGATCAATAAACATAACATTCTAAAATGTGAACTTCACCTTCCATCTTGATACACACCTAAGTGCAAGAGCTCATTATAGTTAATATATTAACATGGAGGTTGGATAGGAGCTACATGGAAACTTTTCCTCTGATTTTCAGCCACTCTTGATCACAGTCCGTGAGCAGCACCTGGGCTGTGACCAGGAGTCATAAGTGCAGGAGAAACTGGGAGGGGTTTGTCTGGCCACTGGAAATTAATGAGGTTCCAGAAAGGCTAAAACTGTCATCCATTTCCTTGGGATAAAAGGATACCAAGGTCATGCACTGACAGCCTGACTCACATCTTATTACATTTCTGGTTGTCACCCATGCAAATAAGAGGCAAATCAGTATCTCACTGGAAGCCTCAAACTCCACTAAGTAACATGGCACTGAGAGGTCACAAAGATACACAATCAGCACTTAACCTTGACCTTGGATACACACAGACAGTTCCTTCTGAGGTCAATGAGAGGTGTGTGTATATCTCTACCAGTACAGCTGGGACTGTCAGGCTAGAACAGGAGCAAAGCTAAAGTAGCAGCATCAATCTCCTATATATTCTTCACTGAGTGTAAACCCCATCACAGAAAAACAACCCAATGACACCAAGCAGATGACACCAAGCTAGGGGGAGTAGCACATAGGACAGTAGGACTAGGATCCAGAGTGACCTAGACAACCTTGAGGATTGGGCCAAAAGAAATCTCATGAGGTTCAACAAGGACAAGTTTAAAGTCCTGCACTTAGGTCAGAACAATCCCATGCACTGGTACAGGCTGGGGGCTGACTGGCTGGGCAGCAGCTCTGCAGAAAAGGACCTGGGGGTTACAGTGGACAATAAGCTGAATATGAGCCAGCAGTGCGTCCTTGTTGCAAAGAGGGCTAACAGCATACTGGGCTGCATCGATAGGAGTGTTGCCAGCAGGTCAAGGGAAGTGATTATTTTCCTGTATTCAGCACTAGTGAGGCCACATCTGCAGTACTGTGTTCAGTTTTGCACCACCCCCCCGAAAGGATGTGGACAAATTGGAGAGAGTCCAGCAGAGGGCAACAAAAATGATGAAGGGGCTGGGGCACATGAATTATGAGGAAAAATTGAGGGAACTGGGCTTATTTAGTCTAGAGAAGAGAAGACTTGAGAGGGGATGTAATAGCAGCCTTCAACTACCTAAAGAGGGGTTCAAAAGAGGATGGAGCTAGACCTCAGTGATGGCAGATGACAGAACAAGGATCAATGGTCTCAAGTTGCAGCAAGGGAAGTTTAGGTCAGATATTAAGAAAAAATTTCTTACTAGAAAGGTAGTAAAACACTGGACCAGATTACCCAAAGAGGTGGTGGAATCTCCATCCTTGGAGGTTTTCAAGACCCGGCTAGACAAAGCTTTGGCTGGGATGATCTAGCTGGGGATGGTCCTGTCTTGAGCAGGCGGTTGGACTAGATGACCTCTTGAGGTCCCTTCCAACCCTAATTTTCTATGATTCTATTATTATGGGCCTTGGATTTAGACGCCGCATTCACCCAAAGTACAGGAGTGTTCAGATCCAGGTGTTTGGATTGCTCCTTTCCAGCAGCACATTCTGTCTGTAATTTTAACTTATCCCTAAACACCCTACATGAGAAAAAACTTCATTCTTATAACATATCTTATCTTGGAGCTATACAACAGTGCCAAGATAAGCTGATCGCCACCAGCCCCTAGAGAATTTAGCGAGATATAAGGAAGCCCCTGTCTTGCCTCTCCAGCATGGGGAATATGTGATCTTTCACCTGACAGATGGGAAGGGGATTTGCCTAGCCACCATGAAGCAGCTTTACATTACCCCAAAATTCCCTTTCAGTAAAGGAAGATTTTGTTGTTCATTCTGTTATCAGACTGAACACATTTAAAGCAAATTGGCAGATTTAGAGCAAACTGAATCAGAGTAGGAAATAGGCCAGAGAGCCAACAAGATGGAGAAATGTAAAAAGACATTTCCAGATATAAGGAGCTGCAAGGCCAAAAAGACAAGATAAAGAAGAGCTGATGTTTGCTTAGAGAAGAGGCAAGCATTTTACTTTTTGTGAAAAAATCCAGTGAGCAAAGGAACAACTCTGCTCCATCTGCCTGGTGCTCCATCGCTGCTAGGATATGTCAACACTAGGAGTGCGCCGATAGAGATTTGGGGGGCCAATACTGATAGCTGATTTTTAAGGAGGCGTATCGGCCGATACCAATCTGATTTCTGATACAGCTGCATGCAGCTGGTAAGTCTGTTGTGATGAAAGGGGAGGGGGAGGGAAGGCATGGCAGGGAAGATCAACACCCCCAGTGGTAAGGGAGCAGTGGGGCAGGGGCTGGGGTAGCACTGCCAAGCCAGGGTGGGGCGGGTGCAGGACAGAGCCACAGCTCATATAGGGGGTGCAGGGAGGGGAGCAGCAGCTCCTGCCACTGCGCGCTGCTGGCCCAGGAGCTTCTTGTTTGGTGGCTCTTCTGCTTGTCCAGCAGCCCCTGCCACTGCTCCTGCTGCTCATCCAGGAGGGCACAGGGAGTGATGCATGGGGTGGGTCTGCA